TTGTAGAGATGAGGTCTTGCCAAGTTGCCCAGGTGGGTCTCGAACCTGTGGGCTCGGGCAATCCACTCACCTCGGCCTCCCAAAGCGTGGGATTATAGGCTGAGCCATTGAGCCCAGTCCCTATTTTTTTTTAAAAAAGAAAACTAATAGAAAATAGTATTTATTTCCTACTAGAAATAAATATTTTATTTCTAATAGGAAATAAAGTGAGCGAAGAAATCTCTCCAACAAGCTTCATTCAAAAATATGAAATTTAGGTCAGGCTCGGTGGCTCAGCCTGTATTCTCAGCACTTTGGGAGGCCAAGGCGAGTGGATTGGCTGAGTCCGTAGGTTCGAGACCAACCTGGGCAACTTGGTGAGGCCTCATCTCTACAATAAATAAAAAATTAGCTGGACATGGTAGCACATGCCTGAGTTCTGACTACTTGGAAGGCTGAGGCAGAAGGATCGTGAGAGTCCAGCGGGTCAATGCTGGGGTGACTGTGAGTATGCCATTGCACTCCAGCCTGTGTGACAGAGTGGGACTCCAACTCAAAAAAGAAAAATAAATAAAAATGTGAAATTTGGTTTGGCATGGTGGCTGTAATCTCAGCACTTTGGTAGGCCAAGGTGGGAAAGTCACTGGAAACCAGGAGTTTGAGAGCAGCCTGAGCTACATAGCAAGACCCCATCTCTATAAAAAATAAAAAAAAAAATAGTCAGACATGGTGGTGTGAACTTGTAGCCCCAGCTGCTCAGGAGGCTAAGGCAGCAGGATTGCTCCAGCTGAAGTGTTCGAGCCTGCAGTGAGCTGTGATTGTGCCAGTTTACTCCAGCCTGGGTGGACAGAGTGAGTCCCTGTCTGCAGAAAGCAAAACAACCCCCAAAACAAAACAACAAAAAAATAAAGATTGATTTAAAATGATGAAACCTTAGACACTGACGTCAGGGCAGTAGTAACACTTGTGTTATGTAGGCTTACTGGGTTACATTATAATCTTCTGTATGATGTTGTCTGGTTGTTTTGGGGGCATAGGGCAGGACTATGTTAATACATGTAATATAATTGTTGAAATCTATTCATTGTGGCTGTTTTGGATTTTTATTTTAATAGGAGAGTTGCTGGAAGCCATCAAACGTGACTTTGGTTCCTTTGAAAAATTTAAGGAGAAGCTGACAGCTATATCTGTTGGCGTCCAAGGCTCAGGCTGGGGTTGGCTTGGTTTCAATAAGGACCAGGGACGCTTACAGATTGTGGCTTGTTCTAATCAGGATCCATTGCAAGGAACAACAGGTTAGATTTTAAAACTGTTATACATTTCATTTGGGAAAGATGGTTTACTATAAAGCATTCAATTACAAATAAGGAAAGCTAGCAGTGTTTACTTATCATGAACATGTAATAATATGAGAAAATCTTAACAGTTAATACCTGGAGTCTCTTTTAAGTAAAAATATTTTATAGGTGGCCATGCATGGTGGCTCATGCCTGTAACACCAGCATTTTGGGAGACCAAAACTGGAGGATTATTTAAGTCCAAGAGTTCAAGCCCAACCAAGGCAACCTAGCCAGACCTTGTGTCTACACAAAAGTAAAAAAAACTAACCAGTTGTGATGATGTGTGTCTATGGTCCCAGGTACTCAGAAGGCTGAGGTGGCAGGGGGAATCTCTTGAGCACAGGAGTTTGAGGCTGCGGTGAGCTGTTATCATGTCACTGTACTTTAGCTTTTGCGAGAGCTGTGATAGTGCCACTCTAACCTGGGCAACAGAGTGAAACCCTGACTCAAAAAAAATTTTTTTTTAAATCCTTGATATTTGCAGAATAAGCACATGTCATTTTATAGAGACATTAACAAAAATTTTTGGTCATACCTTGCTTCATTCTACAGAGAATTAGTATCAGCTTAAACAATGATATGCATTGGAATAAAAAACTAAAATTAGCTAAAGAACAAGAGTGAGGAAAGGAAATAAAAAGCTGAATCTAATTTCAGAACTTGTGCTGTCACCTCCTCTGCTGAGCACTTGCAGTTATACTAGGACTAGAGCTCAGGTCTCTAGACATCTGCCTTTCTTGGGGTCTTTGGTAAAATATGTGAAAAGATCTGACTCAAAAGCTCCAGACTGGGCTCACCAAGTCTTTTTTTTCTGTTGAGCCTAACTGAATTGAAAAAGGCTACTGAAGAGTGTAGGAAATAGTCTTGAGTCATCTGGCAGTTAGCTGGGACTTGGACCTTGAAGTGATACCTTAACATCAATGCCAGTGCTTCCCTGCCCCTTTTCTACCTCTTCCATCAGAATACTCTTGCTTCCATGGGTCACTTCTCCAGACATACTCAGATTTTGCCAGAGTCTAAACAACTCTTGGGGAAAGTGAGATGCTACAAGGATTTGTAAAAACCATAGAAGATGAGTGAGCCCTGAACTGTATGTGGCGTCAGGCATGTCTGTATGGTACCTGACCTGGAGGACTTTTGTTTATGAGTCCTAGCTTTGTTCTTTTCTCTCCTACCTGAAGAAAGCCCATTGGATTAAAAATAAGCAAAAGACATGGGTTTTTATTTATTTATAAAAAATAATGACTGGGTACAGTGACTCAGCCTGTAATCCCAGCACTTTGGGAGACCGAGACGAAAGGATTGCCTGAGCCCAGGGGTTCTGGACCAGCCTGGGCAACTTAACTCTACAATAAATCGAAAAATAAGCTGGGCATGGTAATGTGTGCCTGTAGTTCCAGCTACTTGGAAGGCTGAGGTGGAAGGATCACCTAAGCCTAGCAGGTCGAGGCTACGGTGGCCATTAGTGTGCCACTGCACTCCAGCCTGGGTGACAGAGTGAGACTCTGACTCAAAAAAATTTATTCCTACATTTTGCTGCTTTAATTATTCATAATGAATTATTGGTGGCCTACGTCACAACTGATGACAACTTACTGGTTAAGCATTGTTTTCATAGAGGAGAGCTGTCATTTATTTTGAGAGTTTTATTTAAATTAATGTTTTATAGATAGAACTAAGTACTTCATTTAGCCCACTTAATTTTCTGAAAACACTGTCTTTATCTTTAGCCCTATTCAGTTGTCCTTGTTAACTTATTATTTTTATTAGTGTCTCATAACTGCTACCTATTCCCTAAGACTAAGATTAGCCTCATGGAACAGAGCAGGTTTCTTGTAAACCCCTGAGTACTCAGACCCTTTGAAAGAGATACTTGGAGGTTGTCAACCCACCTCCACAGACATAACACACTCTTACTGCAGCTCCTGAGACCACGTGAGGAAGGCAGGGAATTGGCTCTTGGATGAATCTGTTGGCGTTTTTAAGAACAGCTATTAAAATACTAGTTAATTGATTTTCCTGAGTCTATTTTAATTATTTTTACTATTTGTCACATTTTCTTTAGAAAGAATAAAACTTAACATCTTTTTGTAGGAATATTCATTCTTATGCAGATTTCCTGTGTATATAAGAAACAAGTGAATGAGATTGTCGTACAGGGTAGTTTTTTGTGCATAGAATAGTAAGTTTAAGAAGATGCAATGTTTTAGACTGAAATTTATAGCTTTTTACTTTTTTCCTCCTTCTCTCTGATAGGCCTTATTCCACTCCTGGGAATTGATGTGTGGGAGCATGCTTATTACCTCCAGTATAAAAATGTCAGACTTGATTACCTAAAAGCTATTTGGAATGTGATCAACTGGGAGAATGTAACCGAGAGATACACGGCTTGCAAAAAGTAAAACACAGTCAGTATACTGAATATGCCAAACTCTCTATGACTATTTTTGTAGTAGTTTAGAGTACTGCAGTATACAATAAGCTGCTCTATTGTAGCATTTCTTGATATTGCTTATTCACATGTTTGATAAACAGTTTAATTCTATGAATAATTTGTTATTTAAACATTTCATTATTGGCAAATGATTGAAATAGTAAGTGCTTTGTGTGATTGAAACTTTTGTTTGAATGTTTTCTTCCAAGAGGTTATAATTGTCATCAAGAAACCAGCAAAAATAATCCACCCCTATACTTTTGGGGATTGTAGGGAAGCCTTTCTAATCCTGTTCTATTGCAGTTTTAGAAGACCTAGCCTTTTGCCTCAGTTATTTCACAATAAAATATTAAGTATTTCCCTACAGAAATACTCAGTTTTCCATAGAAAACTGATCTTTTTGTAAGTAATTCTCTGTAGTGGTACTTCTGGCAGATGTCACCCATTGGTCTTTAATTATTCATAGTCAAATATTCATGTATAATTTTTACAAATTGAGCTGTATACAGTTTAACTGTGGCAGGTGTTACCGAACCAAACGGAGATCCACTCTCCCTGTGTAATAAAGCCAAACATCCTCACTGAGGTTTTGTAGTAGGAGAAAGGAGTATGTTTATTTGCAGGGCACCAAAGCAAGGAGAATCAGGCAGTTCATGCTTAAGACCGGATCTCCCTGTTGTCTCACAAGCAAGGGTTTTTAAAGGCCAGTAGATTTCAGGAAAGCAGAAGTTAGGGGCAAAACCACAATCGGTACATGGAGGCTACACATCAGTTTGGCCTAAAAGGTGGGATATCTTGAAGTGGGGTGGGACTTACAGGTTATATAAGTGGATTCAAAGACTCCCTGATTTGTGATTGGTTAAGGAAGCAAAGCTTTGTCTAAAACTTGGGGTCAAGAGAAACAAATGTTAAGGTCTAGCCTGTGGGCGTGACTTTCTCCAGTCCCCTTAGGAAGACAATTTAGAACAAAGGGTGGAGATCAGAGTTGAGTCCTCAGCTCCTGATATCTGATGTCTACAGACCAGTGGATCTAGTTGGTGGGGAAGGGGAGATCTGTGTTTCTAAAAACAACTCAGAGATATACCATTGAGATGTTATCTTTAGTTTGTTAAGGGAACCAAACATCCCCTGACTCTAACTCTTGGTTATTGTTTTAAGCTATTACCTTCTTGCTTTGCTCATTTACTTCTCAGGGCTTGCTAGGTGCCTGGAATTTCCAGTGTGGAGCTCAAGATTTTCCTTTACTTCCATGCTTGTGGGGGTCCTAACAGGCACTTAAGGAGGGTCCATACTCCCTCTCATGGGAATCCTTTTTGTATTTGGCTTAACGTCATAGTGCATTTCCCATGTTGTTTCATCATCTTCCTAATTATCTTTAGCGACTATATAGTACTTGATCAGTTGGACATTTCCTACTTTATTTACCACTGTATTATGGAATGTTGCATTTGTTTCTAATCATTATTTATTACAGATAATGCTATAGTGAGCTCCCTGTACACAAAGATTTTACCTCTTGTTGGAATATTTTCTTTGTCTAGTTTTTTTTCTTAAACCTATTTAGTAATGTTTTCTCAAGTTTATTTTTTATTTTTCCCCCAGCTTTATTTTTCTATTTTTTTCATGGAAAAATGGGGTAACTTAGCAGTTTCAATATTGAAGACTGAAGTTTAAAAAAAGAATTAAATTCAAGACTCTTTTCTCTTAGAATTCAATTAGAGAAGTATTTTGGTTTTCTGAATTATCAACAACAAAACTATTGATAACTGTATGTATGTGTATGTGTGTGTGTGTATGTATAGAAACAACTTTGTAGCCTATGCTCTCCATCCTTTATATATCACAGTAAAATGACTTTTGACCCAGCTCAGTGGCTCAGCCTGTAATCCCAGCACTTTGGGAGACCAAGGCGAGTGGATTGCCTGAACCCACGGATTCGAGACCAGCCTGGGCAACTTGGCGAGACCTCGTCTCTACAATAAATCAAAATAATTAGCCGGGCATGGTAGCATGTGCCTATAGTTCTGGCTACTTGGGAACCTGAGGCAGAGGGATCACCGGAGCCCAGCAGGTTGACGCTGGGGTCACCATGAGTGTGCCACTACACTCCAGCCTGGGTGACGGAGTGAGACTCCAACTAAAAAAAAAAAAAACTTTCAGGGAGCCCAAATGGGAGTTAGGTGATTCGCGCTTGCCTCTATAAGCAAGACAGTGAACTCTGTTTAAACAACCTAGGCAAGTAGAACCTTTTGAAAGATGAGCTTTTGAATACATGTCATCTGCTAGATCATGGTTTGTATTGAACTAACCAAGATTTTCAGGGACTACTGACTTATATAAAGCTTTTTGATGCCTACTAAGCTTTAGGATTAAGAAAATTCAATGTTGAAATTTCTATGGGGCTCTATTTTTGCTTTGACTTTCTTTCTGTTGAGATGAGAAAGCACATTGTCTTTCACTACATTTTTTCTTTCTTTCCCGCTAGATAGGTTTTAAGAGACTTAAGATAATTTACAAACTAAAGATTTTCATCATCTGGCGGAAAATTAGACTTTAAGATTGTTTAGCTCTGTTTACCATAATGGATAAGAAATAGAAAAAGTGAAATTGCCCTTTCTTCTGAAAAGACAGGTATCGTTCGTTTTAGAAGGACTTTTGCGGCTGAATCAGCAGAGCCTGCCTAGTCACAGTTGTGCTTCAAAATACAGAAACTGTCTTGGAAATACTGTCTGTTGCTTGAATTGTTTTGTAATAATTAAACTTTAATGTTGAGAGATTATAGCTGTATCGCACACTTTAAATTCATAGTCTTAAAATGAGATTTGAATTTCTGTTGAGCACTTTAAAAAAAGTGATACCAAAGTCATAAATTAAGATTTATGAGTCATATCTAAAATGAGGTATAAATATAAATCTTCCTTCCTATTTGGATTTCAGGGGAACTGTTGTTTGGAAAAACTGTTAGTAAGTGTTTTATAAATTACTGTTTCTCATTTTCAGTTTTACCCTAATGATCCCAGGAAGCTAATGTCCTGTCTTCTAAGATGTGCATCAGACCTGGTATATACTGAAAATCTTATAAGGCCCTGCATAGTTTTCATGTAATTATTCGCTGAAGAAGCATTTATTCATATTTTCCTATTGTAAGTGTGAAGTTTTTTGACTGTTAATAAAAAGAATCTGTAAACCGTCACAGAGGTCTGCATTATGCATTTGTGTCAAAAACACGAAAAATCCTATAATGCACTATCATTTTAATATTGCTTTTCTGTGGGAATGGAATAACAGATGATAGATAGTTGAATACTACTCCTAAAACCCAGAAGTCACATGAACTAGGTCTCTAATCATATCTGTAGTACCCTCATCTGATGATATCAGAGTGTAGTATTAGGGTTATAGGACAAAAGCAAAGTGTTTTCCTGGTCTCACAAACCATTCAACGTAGTACTCTTGACACTGATTCCCAGTGGATACCAGCTAGGTGTCTTTTAATCAATTCTGACACTGTCTACCTGGGGCTAGTCAGATCCCACAGCTTGAGGGGTCAGTCCCACAAGATTGCCCCTACTTCAGATACCAATTGCAAGTCACAGCCAGTGAGCTGTGCTCACAGACTGGCTACAAATCAGGATTCCCATGACCCCTTTCTTGGGTTTGATTTATTTGCTAGAGCAGCTCACAGAACTCAGGGAAACACTTTATTTATGTTTTTCCATTTATTATAAAGCATATTATTAAGGGTACAGATGAAAAGCTCACAGGGCAGGGCATGTGGGAAGGGATATGGAGCTTCCAAGCCCTCTCCAAGGGATCAGCTACCCAGAAGTCCTTCTGAACCCCATCCTCTTGGGTTTTATGGAGGCTTGATTATATACGTATGATTGATGATGTCATTGGCCATTGATGATCAACTCAACCTTCAGCCCCTCTCCCCTCCCTGGAAGTGGGACCTGAAAGTCCCCACTATGTCTTTCTGGTGAGCAGCTCCCATCTTGAAGCTACCTAGGGGCCCCCAGCCACCAGTCATCTCATTAGCATACAGAAGACACTTATTACTCAAATCTTAAAGGGGTTTAGGAATCAAACCAAGTGAAAGATGAAGGCAAAATACAGCTTATTTATAAATCATGATATCATACATAGTATTTTATATACTTTATAAGAGTTCTCATAACAGTTGGGTGTAGTGGTTTACAACTGTGTAATCCTGGCTACTCAAGAGGCTGAGGTGGGAGAATCACTTGAGCCTAGGACTTCGAGGCTGTAGTGAGCTATGATCCTGCTGCTGCACACTATTCTGGGTGACAAAAGAACCTGTCCCTTAAAAAACAATTCTCTGGCTGGGTATGGGGGCTCAAGTCTGTAATCCCAGCACTTTAGGAGGCTGAGGCGAGAGGATTGCCTGAGCTCAGGTGTTTGATGCCAACCTGGGCAACTTGGTGAGACCTTGTCTCCACAATAGATAAAAAAGCTAGCTGGGTGTGGTAGCGCACGCCTGTAGTTCCAGCTACTTGGAAATCTGAGGCAGAAGGATCTCCTTACCCCAGCAGGTCGAGGCCGTGGTGACCGTGAGCATGCCACTGCACTCCAGCCTGGGTGATGGAGTGAGACTCTGACTCAAGAAAAAAAAAATTCTCATAACATCTTAGAACATTAACCAACCACAGAATATTACCTTACCTCCAAAAAATGAAGTGATGACTTTTATCACAAGATGCGTTTTATATAAAGTTTGAACTGGTGATTGGTAATTGGAGCTTACCTCGTGCCACTTTCCCTAGACTCTGGTATGCTATTTGGGAAGGGCAATGAGCTGTTTTTGAAAAATTCATGCTCTCTGTTATTCTACATATACTTATGGTAATGAGAGTGTCCCTGTCTAGATGCTTCTGGAGCACATGTTTCTAGTCTGTGAAAGGGAAAGCATGAATGCTTTCAAATTTCTGTGATATGCTAGTCACTTTCAGTGTGTCCCCTTGTTGCACCCTGGAGTCTCAATGCTCAAGGTCATGGTAGTTCCAAGTTTGTCTCTGTGCCCACTAAAATATGCACTCCATGAAGGCCCATGACATAAGATTCTTGTTCATTTACATATCTGGGCCCATATTTAAATATTAACAATGTAATTTACTATATTCATAGTATTGTTAATATGGGAATCCCTGAGACTCAGAAGTTAA